CATGATATTTTATTTCTAGCTGAGCAAAGTTAGATTTCTATTTAATTGTCAATAAACGCATCTGATATATGCTCAGTGTTTTAAGTTTTTCTATTTTTTTGTTAGAAAAGATGTTATATGTGCTTGTGAATTTCATAAAATACACACATTCACAACTTGTAAAAATTTCTCCATAATATGAGTGCAGATACGTGAAACGAAAAGTTAAAGTTAAAAAACGAGAATTTCTGTAATTTTACACAAACGATTGATGAAACAAGAGTATCAGCCGTCTCGTTTAAAGTCATCATTTCTGAAGTTCTAAGGTCGATACATTGACCTCGTCAGCTGATACAATTTATCATTGACTTAAATGCTGACTGACGTTTTTCATACTAATTGTTAGTCCATTATTTATACAATGAATTGACGACGGATTTTCACGTTATTTCCTGATAATGGCAATAAACCACACGGAGGTGTGACCGGTCGGCAGGGGATGCTTACTCCTCCAGGACACCTGATTCCACCTCTGATGATTTTTGATGTCTTTGTTTGCTCTGCTCCTGTTTTGTATTGTTTTATGGACTTTTAATCATGAATACTGTTCGATATCTCCATCTATTTCATCCAAGCAGGACTGGTTACTTGCCATTAAAATTCATATTTTTTGTATCATTACGTAGAAAACATGCATGAAATACGGACCCCCAGGAATTCCAGAAATTATGTCAGTAGGGGTAGGTGTCCCCTGTTGAATGGTCACAAACAACATATGCAGGTGATGGAATACATGTATTTAGTTAAAATTTAGTCATCAATTTGCAATGATCGTCTGTTGTCTATAACACATCCAAATATGAAAAAAAAATGTTAGACTGTGCAATGTCTTCTTTTTCAAGTTTGAGTCAATATATGAATGGAAGTAACTTTTTATGATTTATATTCTGGATGTCTAGTTTAAGGCTACGTGTTTCCACTTCTCAGCTAGAAGCTTTTTCATAGGAATACAAAAAATCATCTAATATAGGAATACATGAATTGTCCATCGAAATTCCAACAGTTGGTTTGAAGACCTGGTCTCCAAAGACTACATATAGATGTTGTCAATAAGGGCAATTTTATATTGGGGGTCTTTTCTCTTATGATACATCATTATTGTTATTTTTAAGATTATCCTTTTTTTTTCTTTCATCTACAGATTTCTATTTGCATTGTTACGCAGTTAACTTTTAAAGTCTTAGAGCTTAATTGCGTAGATAGTGGTATTAATAATAACTCTTTTTTTCAAAGTTAAAGCGAAGAATATGAAGAAAACGATCATTGATTAATCTCAAAATATATCTTCAAATCATACATATTGTGAAAAAATACAAGAATGGTTAAAATGTTGTTTTTGTATATCAGTAATTGTACTTCAATTCAATACATGAGAAATCAAAAAAAAAAATTGCACAGAATATAAGCTAACCTAACAATAATAAAATTCGCAAGAATAAAGAACAAAGTTTCCTATTTACAAAATAAACGTATTTGTGTTTCCATTGTAAACAAAAAACTTCCAAAATATAATGTTTCAAATATTTTATTCTTAATGAATTCGTGTAAATGTGATGTTCTTTACCGGGTCGTATATAGATGTGACATTATTTATGTATTTCCTTATTTCAAAAATCACAAAGAAAACATCCGGGTATACATTGATCTTTGTTTACGAAAAAAAATATATCTGAATGCAGAGAAGTAACATTATGCGGTCGTGTGTGATTTTAACAGTGATTTGTAGTAGTGTGATACTCTCAGCTGATCCTTGTCTCAACTTATGCAACATGCATGTACGCATTTATACCCCGAGTAAAGTATTTCTCGTCAAGTTGAGCAATGTAAAACTTCCCGTTTTGTAATTTTTTTCAAAAATGTGCAAATGCTTTTTTTTTTTTAAAATTGAATAGAGATATTAATATCACATTTATTTATGTTTTTATGCGTTTTCCAAATATGAAAAATTTTGTTACTTTAAAAGTTTTCTTTTTGTCTAGAAACAACAGTACTTGTTGCTATAATCACGTTTTTGATGCAGCAGATAACAGATGAGTAAGTAAGTGAAATGGTATACATTATTCTCAATGTTGAAATAACTTTATTCCTTTCTTGCCGTATATCCAGAAATTTTAAAAAAGGATTCAATCATATTTAGCGAGGTGATGAACTTTAGGAAGCTCTAAACACTTACAGAAACTTTTTTTTTGGACTAAGAGAAAAATATACCATATAAAGATATGCATAATGAGACTATTTCATTCATTTAGAACATAGGGTACGTGCCTTAATTGTGCTGAAAAAAATGTTCAAAGACAATGGACTATTTTTGAGCAGCAATAACTGTTGTTAACTTACATTGGGAAAATTATTGAAAATAATTAAATTACATTTCTTACTCTTGGTCTTATATAATGCTAAAAATATTTTAATCTATTACAAATCATGTTATTTACTGTAAATAACAATTTCTTTAATCTTACATCTAAGGGCAGATCACTCTAACTGGATAAAATTACCCTATAAATAGAACTCTTTAGTGTGCAGTGTATAGAGCGTCCTTAAATATTGCTAATGATTTAGAGGTTACTTTTATAATTCTATATACAATACAATGACTTAAATTACTTCACATTAAAATTAAATACTAACTTGCTAAATTTTCGTCTCGCTATAAATTCCATTTTACGGTAATTCATATCTTACTAATTTGTTATTTACTGTGAAAAGAACAAAAATGTTTTAAAAAAGAATTCCTTTCGAACAACAAGGTTTAATTAACTTTTATGAAACTTAAACTATCAATTTGAAAGTTCTTTCTTTTATCTAATTCAATATTTAGATACACATGTCATTCTTTTAAAAGCCTTGCAAATATGCAGACTAATGTGTGAAACTTCCCTATTGCAAAGAGATTGCAAATATGAGTTGGGCAAATGGAAAAAACACAGAAAATGTTAAATGAAAACACAAAATTATTTTTTTTAGTTTATGGATTTTTTAACGGCTTTTATTCACTTTATGAATACAAGTATACATCTACAATGTTACATTTTTAACAGATGTTTACATTCATACTGCTTTTCTGTTATTTAGAATGTCCCAGAGGAAGCTTCGGGATAAATTGTAAATTACAATGCATGCCAGGTTACTACGGAAATCTTTGCTTGCTTCCATGTGAATGTTATGCTCACCAGTGTGACCCAGAGTCTGGATGTCCAGGGACTATCTCTCCAATACAGGAAGAACAAAATAATACTAGCACATGGACGTTGGTTTTCGTTATCATTATTGGTTCGGTAGCAACACTCCTTGTCAGCTGTATATGCCTGTACTTGTGGATCTCAAAACGGTACTAATTAGTTCTTCTACTTATGTTAACTTTGTCTTCATGCTATTTACCTTAGATATGAAAACTTTGAGGTATGCTGAATAAGACCACAGGAACCTGACAGATGGATGGTGTACCCAACTTCCAGCTTCTGAGAATTTTGAATCACAAAAACTTACCAAAATGCATTATTTTCCAATCTATCATTCTCTATATCATATTTCGATATCTGATATCATTTTCCGCTTTTGTTGAGCTTAAGAGATTAGCCACACACGGTATATGTATCGTCTAATAAAAATTCTCAGACGCAGGGGATTGGGGGTCTACCATTATTCGTCAGGTGCCTGTGATCAGACAAGAAATTCAAGTAAAAGTAAACATACTGTTTTAAAGATTTGAAAAAGTTAAAAATCATAGGAAAAAGAATCATCCGATAGAATCTTTCCCAAAATATGAAAACGAAAGTTCATCATTCACTGAAATAAGTTGACATGAAGAAAGAGTAATTTAAAACTGGTGATTCTTTTCCTCAGTATAGTGATATTGATAATGTAAATGAAAAAAAATCATATCCCTGGAAACTAGCATTTCATGTGAGTTTTAATAATTTTTTTTATTGCAAAACTCCTTAACAGGGGTAAACCACGTTTGCGATATCCCAAGACGAACCCAACAGATTTGGATGACACACTTACCGCTACGGTCAAAGACGTTAATACATGTAAGCAGTCTCCTGACCACGCCGAAATCTGCGACAGTTTAAACAGTTCTCTCAGTCAGTCCAAGGATGGTGATTTAACTGCAACCGAAATTGATGTAAAGTGCAAGCATGAAATTGAATATGTAGAAAAAGAGGACAAGTATGGTGGATTACATGATAGCGAGTATCACAGATTACAGTTTAAAACGAACAGAAGTCTCAGAAGACAATATATAGGGAGGGAAGATAAAGACAGTGAAGAATTCGTGGCACTGGAGAGGGTAGAATTCAGTGGGGTTAACACAGAGGATCGAATCTATTCCATACCACAGATGTCACAGAATGAAAACCAATGGGCAAATCGATCTCAAATTGATTCTCTGTGTACTTCAGAATATAGCATTTTGAGTATTGATAATATTTCTCCAAAGACTTTTCCAAACTCAAAGGAGATGCCGTCTATTACTATTGAGAATGAATTAAAAGGAAACTCAATTATGGTAGGAGAACCGCAGTATAGTCTCGTTAAATTCAGTGATATTGAAATTGAAGATGACAGAAACAAGAGTGTAGAATCACAAACTACACCGCTGTGAGATTATCTAACGGTTTGTTCATTATTTTTATTCAGACGTGTAATAAGAATATGGTGCGGTTTCCATGCAAATATGGTTTTGTACTTTTTTAAATTTATTATTTAAGGAATTGGTGTTCACCCCTACTAATGTTATTGTGATTTAAATTCAAGACACGTGGTTTAGTTTGATCTATTCAAAGGTTATAGGGCAGAACCGGTTTTATAAATAAAAATCGGCAGTAAACATGGTATTGCTATAGCCTGTTTCTTTTGAAAAGATGTCCTGTAATAAATTTTTCCAGACCTTTCTAAAAGACTTTCATGATTTTCAACAGAAAAAGGGTGGCTAAAGGAAGGGGTGTTAAAATAACAATATATCTTACACTTTTCGACTAAAATTAGAGCTCACTAGTGACCGATTCGCTGGTTAAAAATGTGCATTATCATCTACACTGACAAACCTTTGTTTGCCTTATATGGCTATTGTTATAAATTCGCACAGGGGATCTCACCAAGAGCAACTGACCAATCGTTGAATGAATAGCAACGTTTACGCCAAATACATGTTTACATTTTACTTCGAACACGTAGTTCAGGTCAATCTATGATCGTGTTAATGGGCTGCAATATAAAAGAAATGAACAAAATACAAAGATAAAAAACTATGAAAGATGTTACGGGCGTTTTTAATTTGTTGTTAAATGGGAAAAAGAAGTTTAATAAAATGTAGTTTGTGTCTAGTTCAGAACACAAGCGCTTCAAGGGTAAGGAAAACGAGAAGCATCTCTTATGCATTTAAATGGACAAAACATTTTTACGTTCGTGATCACGTGTTCGGCCAGGGAATTCACCTGGCAATTGTATTCACCGAAAGTACAACGAAGGAATTAATACAAACGCAAATTACTTTTGCAGTATGACTTCAGAAACCTAGATTTCCGCCGTTTATTTAACAAATGAAGTGTTTATTATTATAAGCATAAGAATAATATTTTTAAAAATGCTTTTCATTTACCATAAGATTTTCCTTATTTTCAAACGTAAAATTCCTGTAGTATTCGTAGTAACCCATAATGCAATACTCATTCAGCTGATTGGTCAGTTAAAATCGTGCCGGTGCCTCATTTGCTAATCTGACGCCGGGTTCCTATGAAAAAATATTTGTCCAAAAAGAAATTTGAATTCATGACTGCAGAAAATTGTAGTATAGAGAATACTTATATAAGTTTGAATTAATGTAAAAGAGATCGATTGACTGAAGTAAATTTCAACAGACATTATCAGCTGATTCTAGAGTGGTGAAAACTGAAACGCAACATAACTTTTCTGTTTACCATGCCTCCACGTGCTAGTAACTTCCTAGCCACATTTCTGTGAATAATTTACCCTATCTCGCTGAAGTCTCGCTAACTCTCGCCAGAGCCACTGCCAGAGCTACTCTGAACTCATCGGGTTTTATAATTTGCAGAATACCGAAAAATAAAAGGTTCCGAACACATTAGTAGGGGTGTGTTATTAATTAAAAATTGAGCTTTCTCAGCTGTTTCAACTCTGCGTAATAATCGAAACCATGCAAAACATTGGCTACAACGTACGTCATATTTCTACAATGGTCCTCCTTTATGCATTCACGACTATATCATTCAAATTTTCATCTTAGATTTAGGTCAATTTTAAAACTATCTGAAAATATCTCATTTTTAGGTAATAATAAAGAAAACCCGTGCTTTCTTCCTTTTTTCTTGGCTAACCGAGAACAGATAAGCACTTCATTTGTATTTTTGTTTTAGCTTTGGAATTTGATCAGAGATTCTTGCAAATTTCTGCAACATTATGTCTGAGAAATTTTGTGCTTATGAAAGATTCATTGTAGTTTGTTTAGGTTTGAAATCTGGACATTCTTCTATATAATCTCCGGATGTAGTTGATAAGTTATTACTGCAGAAGTACAAAAGGCTTGAAAAATTAAATCTATGCTGTTAGATTACAATTCACATCCATCTCTAGTAAAATATCAAATATGAAATAAATCTGTCAGCGTCTGTTGTATTTTTTTTTCATGCTCACTGAGATCCCAGATAGCATGAAGACATTGGCCCAACGTTGGCCCAACAATGTTGGTTATGTTGGGCCAATGTTGGCAATTTACGTTGGCCCAATGTCTTACTGCTCATTGGCGCGCCGTTGGCCCAACATGTTGGGCCTATGTTGGTACAATACTGTTTGTTTATTTGTCAACGTTAGTACAACGTTATTCCAACATACCAACGCCAACGCAATATTTTTTAACGTTGGCCCAACGTTGGACCTCAGTTCAAAATATAATCATGACGTTGGTCCGACGTTGGTCCAACACTGGTACAACGCTTTTGTTGAAATGCCAACGTTGGTACAAAGCTATTCCAACGTACCAATGCTAACCAAATATTTTGTAACGTTGGCCCTACATTGGACCTCAGTTCAAAATATAGTTATTACATTGGTTCAACGTTGATACAAAGCTGTTTCTTGAAATATCAATGGCACAATTATTCCTCAATACACATGTCTTACAAAATTAATTAAATTCTGCAATTTTTATTTCCCAGATTATACGACACAATTAATTTCACCATGTTTGGTCAAATACTTTTTTCCACCTAAAATGTATTACAATATATTCTTTGCCACTTTCACTTTCATTAAAGTATTCCATGGAATGTAACTAAAAGAAGGAAGAGGTAGAAAGTTCAAGGTTTCTCAAGTACATTCCACATCACTATGTCCACTACTAAATATCGCTTTGATATAAGAGTCTTCAAGTTCTAATTGTAGAGTTCCGGAAGGTCATATTTGAATCACTTATCACTTTTTCTGTTGTTTATCTGTTCTTAGAATCCATGTTTTCCCACACATATAAATCAGTCCCTTCAATATACAGAAAATTCCACATCAATAATCTCAGAGTGAAGAGGGTTTTTCCATCCCGGCATTTCCTGTAAACGTTAAGATTGTCATCAATTAAAATAGTATTTTCAAATGTTCATCAGCATCACACATATTTTTAAAGCAATCCTGAAGATTGAAGTTCACATTATTAATTATTAATAACAAATACAAAATAGTTACTTACATTTCACTGGTTAACATATTTGTGTTCACTTACAGATCCGGACATATCTGCTTTGTTCAAGCCCGCCAATTCCTATAAAAGTTAAGATCGTCATCAATTACAATTGTTTAATCAGCTACCCGGTACTAATAATTTGAAAGCCTACATGCAGGCCATTACAATGTTGTGCATTTCACATTATTAATTATTTCAATAACAAAAACAAAAGCTATACTTACATTGAAAGGATTAAAATTCTTGCGTTCACTTAAACATACACATACGCTTTGCAATTGTTCAAGTGCGCGGTTTAAAAAAACTGATTTAAATGACGGTTTCCTTGGAGACCTATGAGTCACCTACCGAGCCAGTGAATTTCACCAGTGACCTATTTATTTTGGAGCCCAAAACATGCAAAACACAGCACTTTAAATTTGATTCAATGATGCTAAATATAGAATCTACCAAGATACAAAATTACTATATGTAATTCACAGACTTATAAGGATTGTCTCATAATTTCCATTCAATATATGATATAGATCCCATTTTTATAATGAGTTGCTTATATCATTACCATCGATATACAATAGATAAATCTAAATTGATGAATACTTTTCGCAACATTGGGCCAACGTTGGACCAGCATTTCATCTCAAACATTACAGGCTACCTGTACATGTACTAGTAATCCCATATTCCTACTATTGGACCAACTCCAGTTCAGTCCAGCACGCCCAACACAGAGCAATGCATTATTATATTGTCAACATTTATTAAGCTGGGCCAACGTTGGGTCAACATTGAATAACCAACAATAAGTGGCAATGTTTTGTGTCAACATGTACTCAGTTACACCTACGTTGGGCCAACATTTCATACTCAACACACGATTGTCTTGATCCATGTCAACATTTACTCGGTTGGACCTATGTTGGGCCAATATCTTAATGTCCAACACCAAGTCGCTATGTTTCTTGTCATCATGTTACTACAATGGGCCAATATTGGGCCACCATCACATGCCCAACACCGTTGGTTTAGTTTTCATGCCAACGTAAATGAACGTTGGACCAACGTTGGGCCAACATCACATGCCCAACACCGTTGGTTTAGCTTTCATGCCAACGTAAATGAAGTTGGACCAACGTTGGGCCTACATCTGTTCCCCTACGCCAACACTCTACCAACCATACAACCAAAAACCAACGTTGGTCCAACAGAGTCATGCTATCTGGGATAGGATTCATTGTGATGATATATAAAAGGAATTCAGTATTGTGTAGTGGTAAAAAGTCGTCGATATATCTAAATGTCATGTTAAATGCCATGGCAGGTATTTTCTATGACTCGCTTAGTTCTCCATATGAAAGCAGGGAGTTTCTACAAGTCAAGCGGAAGAAGCCTAATTTACATTAATCTTTTAGAAGATTTATATACAGTGATGGGGAATCATTTAAGAGAACATCGTTTTAGCTTGTTACATGTAAAATAGATTCTAGTTCAAACAAAATCTAAAATCGATGAAAGATCTAATATTTTGAAACTTCATTTCCATATCGATTTTTGTTTACATAAAATTGCTTTTGTTTACATACAGTTCTATATGGGTTTAATTAAGGTCTTCCGTTTCCAACGGAAGACCTTCTACTGATTCTGTTGGTAAAGATTATTATTCTTTTTTTTTTCTTCTACTTCCTAGACGCCAACTTTGAAGCATCATATCTCACTCATTTCTCAATTGATTTCGCTCAAATTTTCAGAGATACTAGACGTTACTAAACTCTATCACAATGCTGTCGAAAATTTCAAAAAGTCACTTCCGGTTTTGAGTTATTTCCCTTTAAACGAAATTTTCTAGGCTTTCGTTTCAAGACAAAGGCTCAGAGACGGCTAAAGCTGGAGCAAAAATTTTACTGATTTCAGATAATAGAAGGATTGAAGTTGTGCACATCGGTTTTTGTTTTTCGATTTCTCTATTCAAAA